TTATAATTATCACAATTTTTAGTTTCTGTTGGTAAATTATTAAACATAATAAGGCCATTTTTAAAAACATTGTTCATACATTTAGCAGTTCTAGAAGTTTCTATATAAAAATCATTTGTATTTCTAGTTTGATATGCATGTATGAAATTAACATATTGTAATTTGTCACATAGATATTTTGGCACTTTTTCGTGTTTTATTTTATATATATAGTCCATAGTCCTAAAATATATTCTCTGTTTAACACTTAATAGATTTAACACTTCTAACATAGTTTTAACAGGTGTATATTTATTACATTTTAAAATTAACCTCATACATTTGTTTTGTAAAACCTGAAATTTTTTGATTTGATTTTGGGGCCCTATATAAAACTGTAGAACAGTAATCAAAATGGGGTGAAATTAATGTCTTATATAACAACATATGATTTTGAAAATTTAAAAACCTATTCATTCTCCTTAAAAAATACAGTTTTTTTGATATTTTATTTCTTATATAATTAGCATGATCATAAAAATTTAGTTGTTCATCAATTATTATTCCTAAATATTTAATTTTATTTACTCTATCCAAAACATCACTGTCAATTTTAAGGGTTACATCACTAACTTTAGTTAAGTTATATTTACTACCTAAACAGGCAAACGAAAGTTAGGGAAGAAGTGTTGGCAGTAGGTAGGCCAGTGACTTAACTTATTTAGTTATATGTACATAGTTTTTCTTTAATTTTTTGTTTTCCTAAAAAGTTTTAGACGAAATAGGCTGTAAAACTTAGTAGTGGGCAGGTTTTTGTAAGGTTTGACCATATATCTGTAGTAAAACTTATCCAATTAGCTTCTGTCAATAACTGCGGAAGTATTTTTCTGACTTCGGCCTGCTGGATCATCAAAACTCAACCGTTTAAATCCTTTTCCCGCATGTCCACTATTATGTAAGTTATAATTGCTTTGGTTGAATGTAAGAATTAATTGTTACATTTTTAATGACTTTGCCATTTTCTTGGTAGTTTTAGTATCGATATTTCCGATCATCAACTTTCTTTCACCCCTCTGCTCTTTTAAAAAAAATAATAATAATATAATATTATTTTATTCAACGGTAAATAACCAATACATAATTATATATATTATATACAATTTACATAATATAGACAAAGCAAAACTTAAAACTAGTATACATAAAATTAAAAGTAAATATCACAGATTCTGAATTGACAACTTAAATCTTTTTAAACTACTACAAAAAAAGTCAATATCCAATTCATTTGCAAGTCTGCTTACTCTATCAATTGGTGAGTTAAATCCATAATTGGTGGTATGTAAGCTTACATAGAATAAATAACAGTGTCTTACTTGTCTTTGTGGAACATGAAACTTAAGCAATTCTAGTAATTCTGGACAGTTTACTACATTATTGATTAATTTGTACAAAAAAATTAAACTCGATTGGTCGCGTCGTATACTTAACGATTGAAGATTCATAATCTGCCTTAAAATGCCATAATTCAGATCATCAGATTTTAAATTTAATTTAAACGCACAAACACGAAGAAATTTATTCTGGACGTTTTCAATACGTTGCTCATGAATGTCATAAAACGGGGACCGTATAATACTACAATACTCTAAAACAGAGCGCACATATAAAATAAAAACAGTTCTCAAACAGTTCACATTATCAAACTCAAGAAACTGTCTTTTAATAAAGCCCAACATTTTAAAAGCTTTATTATTGACAGCGCTTATGTGATTAGAAAAAGTTAATTTATTATCAAACATAACACCTAGGTCTCGAATTTCACTCACTTTTTCCAAATAGGTATTAAGTATCTTATATCGCGATAAAATTGGAGATTTCTTATTAGAAAAACTTATGCATTTGCATTTTCCTAAATTTAGTGACATATAATTGGACTTACACCATACAGCAATCCGATCCAGATCAGGCTGTAACAGTAGATTATCACTAATATTGTTTACAATTCTAAAGATTTTTAGATCGTCTGCAAAAAGTAAACATTGACTAGATTTAACAACTTAACATATGTCATCTATAAAAAAGTTGAACAGTAATGGCGATAAATGCCCACCTTGTGGGACACCAGATGTTACACACTGAAAGAAATATATGCTTGTTTTAGCAATTTTATGTGGTTCATATATGGACTACCACATACATTGCTAAAACAAACATATATTATATTTAGTTTTAACATAATATGTTAAAACTAAATATAAAAATGGTTAAGGTAAATATATTTTATGTGGTAGTCCACATACATTGCTAAAACAAACATATATTTCTTTCAGTGCATGAATTGGACTAGATTTAAAGTAGTTGTTTATAAGAACAATTTGGGATCTCCCCGTAATATAACTAAAAATCCACCTCAACAAACTACCATAAATGCCCAACGCTTTTAATTGCTTTGGAGAAATCAGTGTATATGGCATCGACTTGGTTTTGCCTCTCCAAAGCATTTACGAGAAATTCAATATAAATTAGTAAGTTTGTAGAAGTGGACTTACCGGAAGAAAAACCATGTTGCTGACAGGATAAAACACCACGGAACTGTTATCCTATAACATATGTAGTTATGTGGGGAAGGGCAACAGAAATCCACAAAGTATTTGTTCTGCAGAAGCGTGCTATTAGAGTGATTTTTGGCATAAAACCCTTAGATTCTTGTAAAGGATATTTAAAAAATTATACCTCTATGCTTTGTTATGTTAAGTTCGTATGCTTTGTTATGTTAAGTTCGTAAAAATCTAAAAACTAAATAAAACACTCACTGGTTATTTAACGATTTATTTTATAACTTAATTATAATTAAAACACCAAGAAACTATAAAACTAACTAATTACTAAACTACTATTTATTTGTATATTACTACTGAACAAGAGTCTATTTATTTGCAATTATATTTAATTTATTTTGTCGCGACTACCAAAGCTTGATTGACTTTACGATGCTCCGCTGAACCTCATATATTTAGTGCGTACGTGACCCACGTCACGAAAGCGCCTTCCCGAATATTTTAGGTAGATGCACACCGCTCTCGATAGCTCGGCGATGAGTCACCAAGGACATTCCAAGATCCAGAGTGGTACTCGCTAAAATATCAAACACATTGAACATGGTTATAATACACCCAAACATTTTTTGTCTCTAAATGAAATATCCCCCTTTTAGGCAGGGTTAAAAATATATAACAATCTTCCTAAAAATATTAAACAGCAACCTAATAAAAACTTATTTCAAACATCACTTAAAAGTTTCTTGCTTAAAGAATGTGTTTATGAAATAACAGACCTTTGCATATTATTGACAGTATTTGTTTTATTTTTCGTAAATAATGGTAACCGATATAACCGCCTGGCGTAACAGTGGGAATATTGAACTCATTTTTCACGTTATTAGGCAAAAGTAAGGTGTCAGATGTCAGATTTGTTTATATATACGAGGGGCGACTATAATGATCTTTTAAATCGGGAAAAAGTTAGGTTATAATACATTTTGTTATCAATGAAAATTACTTAATTGGAGTAGAAAAAGCATATAATTACACTTGAAAAAATGCGCATTATCTAGGATGAATTACGTCTCGGCTTAAGACGGAAACCTCATCCGTGGGAATAATAGCCTACATTATCTCTCGTATAATAATATACTATTTTTAAATAAAACTTTAGGCCACACCTAATTCATATATTTGTCTCTTATGTATATGCGTTCTATTTTATATTTATTATTTTTATATTTTGATGTAGCTACAGCTATGCTATTGTACTTTATATACTTATCTTTTTAACCTGTCATATCTATATTCTATATTTTATAGCTTTAATGACCAAAATAAATAAAATAAAAAAAAATTAAAATCACGAAGTTTCGACTAGTAAGTATCACTTCGTTGCACTTGGCTTAAATATAAATAGACCTGTAGCCACTTAACGAATTCATTTAATACTATGTAGTATTGGCTATTAATGTTTGTTTTTCCTTAAATAAAATACCATGCGGCCCCAAAACATGGGACGGTGCTCGGGAACGAACTTTAAATAAGAAGGTCAATTTCCGAGGGGTAAACCACTTTAAAATCTTAGAGACCAGTCGTAATCAATAAGAAAAATTCGAATTAAAAAAAAAGTGACAGAAAAATTTAACAAACGTTTTTATTTTATTGAATTTAAAATGTTACTGTGATATTTTTAATTGAGGTAGAATTATAAAAATTACATTAACCTCTAAAATAAAATGAATTAAAATGTTCAAATGACAAAAAAATGCAAAGCATGTTTAGTCACTTCCTACTCAAAGGCGTGTGCCGGCAACGCTTTTATCTTAAGATTTCAAAGTAAATCCGTTGTTGTTGTTTGTTTGGTGATCCTAAAGCTTTTAATAAAAACGGAGCATTCAGTGCACCTGAGTAGTTCAAATTGAAAATTTTCCTGTGTCCGTTTTATTTAATGATAAATAAATAATAAAATAATATAAAATTTAATTATTTTAGATTATGTAAATTAACTGATCTTTATTATTATTTATGTATAAGAACTATTTTTATTCGTCTATTTTTGTTTTATATAGATGATAAAATTACTATTAATACTTACTTTATGTAAATAAGACATAGTATTTTTTTACTTTATAGGAACAATTATCTTTTTTTGATTCCTTTATGTAAATTTATCGATTTTTACATTAAATTATATTTTTTTTTTCGTAAAATATATAAACTTAATGAATAAATTAATATAATGGGATCATTAAATGAATTAAATTTATTTATTGTGATAATTAAACTAATTAATCGTAATAACAATATTTTTATGCTAAAAACTTGTTTTTATTGAATTAAAAATAACTTAAATAATATCGTATAATTTTTATATTCACGGTTAACCAGAATTTACCACCATAAGATGGTTTAAATTATACCTATCATATATAATATATATATGATGGTCAGTTCTCAGAATTGTAGTTCTAAAGGTAAGAATTTAGTGAATTCTTCGTCACAATGTTTTGGGTATCATTTATTGCCGTTTTTATTGTCAGTGCCATTGGACTTCCACCGCGTAAGTAAAAAATTATAATCCTTTATTTATTTAAATAATCATTAATACTTATATATTTTCTAGCTACATATATAAAACCATGCTCAATAAGTAAGGATTTTGAAAAATGTTCCCTTCAAGTAGGCAAACATGCCCTGGCAAGTTTTGCTAGAGGTAAGTTAAAAAAGTAAATTACATCATATTTTACACCAATATTTTTTAATCTTTTAACTATGTATAACTAGAAACAATTAATTAAAATTACATTTATACTTATTATAATTTTAGGCTCTTTTAAACTGTTTTAAATTATTTAAACCTACCTATTATATTATAATCAATGTAAAAAAATATTCTTTATTTTATGTTATTATATAATTTGTAACGTAACGTTGAACGTAAGTTTATTGTTTAAAGACAATTATATTTTTGCACGGTCGAATGAAACGTTAAAAAAAATTAATATATATGTTATTTGCAACAGTGGCGGCTGGTGGATTTTAAGTATACCAATATCTCAGTTATTAGACATGGGACCCACACCAAATTTATAATAGTTATTTTATTAAAATAAAAAAATATTTAAAATGTTATAAAAACTGTAATATTTGGATTTTTTTAATAAAATTTTAAATTTGTCGATAAATTAGAGTAGATAATAAATTGCACCACTTTAATTTGAATTATCTCAAATAGGGGGGCCTGGAGGCAGGGTAGGCAACAGGAAAAACTAACTTTTTTTCGCAAACTTCAATTTAAATTCTGTTTGCGCCGAACTTGTTTATTTAATGTCAATATAAACTATTATAAATTTGGTGTGGGTCCCATGTCTAATAACTGAGATATTGGTATACTTAAAATCCACCAGCCGCCACTGATTTGCAATAGACGAAATCGAATTTTTCGTCCACAACGCGTTGTGCTTATAGTAGTTTACCCACGATGCAGTTATAAACGTTTTTTCCGAACAGTGAGTAAAGCTAATTAACCAGAACGCGTTGTGGGTAAACTTTGCTACCTACGACATGAAATTCGCGCGCTTTTGTTTTGCATTGCGGAGCATTTCGTTTACCCACGTCCCGTTCTGGCTATTGTGTTTTACTCAGAAGGCGTTGAAGGCAAGCTGTCAACAACTATCTGACGTTTGTAAAATAAGACAAGTGAATTGTCGTCTATTGTTGACAACAATTTGTTGTGAACCTGGGTGGCGGCTGGTGGATTTTGGGCACACCCATATCTTAGTTATTAGACTCTGCGCAAGCAGAATTTAAATTGAAGTTTGCGAAAAATGTTAGTTTTTCCTGCCCCCTAAAATTAAGATAATTCAAATTAAAGTGGTACAATATTTAATATACTGAAGTTTATCAAAAAACTTCAAGTTTTATTAAAAAAATTTAAGAATTACAGGTTTTATACCATTTTAAATTTTTATTATTTCTTTTACTAAATTTAAAAAAAATAGAAATGGTATAAAATCTGAAATACTTTAATTTTTTTAATAAAATTTGATATTTGTGGTTAAACTTCAGTGAATTAAATATTGTACAACTTTCATTTGAATTATCTTAATTTGGGGAGGAGGCTGGGGAGGCACACTTAAAAACTTTTTTTCGAAAACTTCAATATGAATTCTACTTGCGCAGAACTTGTCTATATAATGTCATTATAAACTCATATAAATTTGATGGGGGTCCCATGTCTAATAACTGAGATATGGGTGTGCCCAAAATCCACCAGCCGCCAACTTGGGTTGGGTTGAGTCAGGTTGCCTGACCTGTCTTCTGGGCCTAAGGATTTGTTTGATGTAATTTAACTTCAGTGAATTAAATATTGTACAACTTTAATTTGAATTATCTTAATTTGGGGGGCAGAAGGCTGGGGGGCACACTTAAAAACTAACTTTTTTTCGCAAACTTCAATTTGAATTCTGCTTGCGCAGAACTTGTCTATATAATGTCATTATAAACTCATATAAATTTGATGTGGGTCCCATGTCTAATAACTGAGATATGGGTGTGCCCAAAATCCACCAGCCGCCAACTTGGGTTGGGTTGGGTCAGGTTACCTGACCTGTCTTCTGGGTCTAAGGATTTGTTTGATGTAATTTCCTGAAAGAATCTCAAACGAAGACATGTAGGTGCATAAAATTAAATATAAAATGCAATTCAAAATGCCACAAGACCTATTCTTGTAAAAATAAGTTATGTTTGTTTTTTAAGCTCTTTTTAAAATGTAGTAACATATAATTCATGTTATATGTACCTCTGCCTTTAAATAAATGCTTTTTTTTATTTATATTAATTGTTTTATATAAAACGCATTCTGAGTAAATCACAATAGCTAAAACGCGACGTGGGCAAACGAAATGCCCCGCAATGCAAAACAAAAACGCGCAAATAATTATTTCGTGTAGTGGGAAGCATAGTTTACCCACAACGCGTTCTGTTTAAAAGCTTTACTTACTGTTGGAAAAAAACGTCTCTAATCGCATCCTGAGTAAACTACTATACCCATAACGCGTTGTGGACAAAAATTCAGGGTAATTTACCTAACTTATTCAATTGAAGTTTATGGAGAACGGAAAAATATATCGACTTCAAATTTGTATAATATTTATAGGTCTTCCATGCGATATCACTTCCGGTTAAACCGGAAGTGATATCAACTTTGGTTTTTCAAATGGGACCATATAAATATTATTGCATTTTTAAATTCTACGTAAAATTCTATAAACACTAAAATTTAATTTTTTTTGATTGTTATCAGTTTTTGAGATATTTTTTTTTTTAATTTTCACAGAGAGATGGTCTTACTAATATGTCTGTATTTCTACTAATTGTAATATTAAAAAGTTAATTTTTGGCGTACCTGTTAACTTAAGCAATTAATAGTAGCTATTTAAAAAAATTAAACTGGGTGTCTTACGTTGAATTTTTTGTCACTTTAAATACCAATAAATTTCTTATATCAAACGAAACTACCATACAATTTTTACATTATTCGACACAAAATAATGTTTTATATTGAAATTTTGCAACATTCTTTATAAATAAAAAAATATTTAGATAGATATTAGATAAAAAATGTGAAAAACCACTTATTTTTTTAATTGTATTATCAGTAGTGTGCATTGGATTGTCTTTTATTTCGTATTTATAAAGTTATGTCAATGTCAACGTCTCTAACAAGTGTGTTACAATGGGTGATAATAATTACACTAATCAAGATATTCTAAACATGGCGAGTGCGAAAAAGTTTTAGAAAGAACAATAAGAACTTTTAATGAGAGTTATCCTAATTTAACCCCACTCGGAAAGTGAGACAAGCTTTTTCGGAATTGTCCCATGAATAAATTTTGAGAACAACTTCCAAAGATGTCTTGCGACTGGTCGTGACGTATGTGTCGTGAACAACACTGGCGATACATTGAATGATTACTTTAGATTTGATTTATTTGTTACATTTTCTTATTTTTTCAATATAATTTTTGAACTTTAAATTGTTAATTCGGTACCTTAGAATAACAAGGTTCCAAGTGCAGCTTAACTGTTAAGCAAAAATGACTTACCTACAATAATAAATATTGCAGATAAGCCATTTTTGCTTAACATGGCAACTTAGCTTAGAACCCTCTAATCCTAAGGTACCGAATTCTTTTAACGTTGTTTTATACGAAATTAAAACAATCCAATGCACAATGTATAAAACATGAGTCGTCTAGTTTCAAAAGCGGCCATCTCCAAATATTTTGAAAAAATAATTAAAACTTAAATCTGCAGATTTATGTCGTAGAAAAAATATTTTCAGTTACCATATGAACAATACTTCCAAAATATTTTTATTTTCACCCATTAATTTTTAGAATGTTTTTTTGCCATTTACTTAAAATATTGGCCGCTTTTAAAATTAGACCACTCTTATATTGATTATTGTAATTATTCACCCATTAGTATTACAATTGTCAGAGAGGTTGTCATTGATATTACTTCAAAAATACTAAATAAAACAATCCAATGCACACTACTGATATTGTAAATAAATTTTGTTAAATTTTTGTAATATATCTGTCATTTTAGGAAATGCTGCAGCATTTCAATAGAAAATATTATTTTATGACAAATGATTTGAAAATTGTGTGGTAGTTTCGTTTGAAATAAGAAAGTTATTCATATTTAAGGTGACAAAAAAGTCAACGTAAAAACCCTGTATAAAATTTTGAAATACTTTTAATGGCTTTTGATAGAGTGCTCCTTATTTAACAGGTACACCATAAATTAAGTTTTTAACAATACAATTAGTGGTAATATAGACATATTAGTAACACCACCTGTCAAAATTATTGAAAAAAAATAATCATCTCAAAAACTGTTCAAAATAAAAAAAATAATAAAATTTCAGTAGTTTAAAATTTTACATAGAATTTAAAAATTTAATAATATTTATATGGTATCATTTGAAAAAACAAAGTTAATATCACTTCCGGTTTAACCGGCATTCCAAAAAATACCATTAATTAAGTTAAAAGATAACCTTATTATAGGGTGACCTTATTATAGGGTGACCATACGTACGGAATTTTGCTGTATTGTCCGAAATTTTACCAGTTCATACAGCATTTTTCAGGTTCAGCAGGAGCGCGTTCGAAAACTCGATTTCTCTGGTATATACCTGGATATATGTATATACAACTGTCAACTGTTCCAAAACAGCAATTAGGTATATGTCCAGATAAATAAAAGAATTTATTTAAAATTAAATTATTAAAAAAATATCAACTCTAAAAAAAACAAAAAAAAAAATAGGCACAAAAACTTGAATAAACCATATAACTACAGGGTTGAAATACTATAATTTAATATTTATACGTATTCAGCCAAATAACAAGCAAAACCAATTGGGTTTAGAACACTGCAATATAAATTTTAAGGGTATATGTTTCGCGGTGTTCGAAAATAACAAGAAAGTCAGGTATAATGTAAAGTCATGTGATTATATACTTATCCTTTTACCATATCCAAAGTACACTCTTATTTCGAACGCACTCCAGAATGTACAGCATTTGCTTAAAGTACTAAATATTTTTAAACTTCTAGCCTAGCGCCGTCTAACTGACCAGAATTCTGGTTTACAGTACACTACACTACAGTAAACAGTTTACTTCTTTACTTAGTAGCGTACTGCACTTTTCTTCCTTTTGAATGATTTTTATTCCAAAATCGAGAATGATTCGGTGGGTATTATAATAATACCCATACTATTATTTAATCACTTATAAGAAAAACATGTATAGCTAATTGTACAATATATGTAAACGTAGTTTGTGGAAGTATCTACTTAGGTGCATACTTAAAAATATTGTTAAATTTTGAGTATTTGAATTTTCTACAATTTCTGGCTTAATCCGATAAATAAAAACCAATTTATACTTGAATTATTTAATATTCCAATCAATTTTGCTTAAATTTAATATGCCGCATTAGTTAAATGTGCCCCCCTTTTTTATCTCATTTTTTTGTTTGCGGGCTTTATATCCTTTCCGGCTTAAGGTAGTTGTCGTGGTACAATATTGTCAAAAAATTTTAGATTATACGCACCGTAAAAGTAATCGAGCTTGTAGCTAAGTGATTCATAATTTATTCGCAAGACTGTACCCTGAAGACGTTACCTTTACGTAATACTTTCAAATATTTTCATAAGTTTTAATCCGGCAACGTCGCTTATGCTCAACCAATAGATATATTGGAGACTGAATCAGTGTTTGAATTTACTGCGGAAATAATATCTATACTCGCGTACAGCGTTGCCAAGTTGTTTTTATCTGACACTAGTGATGTATACTTTTTAAAAATTGTTGAACTTTAACCGGTTATTTATAAACAATTGGATGGTCAAAAATTTTTAATTATTTTTTTTTAAACTCAGCAAAAGTACATTCAAAGACTGTTAGTTTTTTTAAAGCTTCTGAGTTAGTTTTCTTTTTATAACTATGAAACTAGTACTGAACTACAGAAAGCGTATACAATCCATGTTAATTATCCAATTTTTAATTGAATTTATCTCGGGTTATAGACGGTCAATCGATTTCAAATTTTAAGAATATTTGTATTGTCATGTCCTTAATATGTATAAAGTTATAAAGTTATAAAGTGCTCTTTTAGTTCCACCCTTACATCCAAACTAAGATGTCCCATAAGCCAACTGAATGGCTTGTGCGGGTTAGGGGTAGGAACGGACCGACGGCTTAAAGTCCCCTCCGAAGGACTATACACAATGGACAAACACAAATAAACAACCATACCCAAGTGGGATTCGAACCCACGACCTCTCGGCTCGTACCACTACACCACCGAGGCCGGTGGCAAAAATTTAAAATTTTCTGATGGTATGCTTACAGCACGACAACTACCTTAATGTGACTGCCTGTACAACAACATTCATCGTTTAAAAATCTGGTCACCCTACCTTGATATGATTTGGAGTGTTTTTGAATTTTTTGTTTTCATGTTGTGTAATCGTTTGTATGGTAAAAAAATGATTCAGACATGGGTTTCAATATTGGACCATGCTACAAAAAACGAAAGATATATTGGCCCAATATTATTACGAATATTGGGCCAATATCCTTCTGCTACTGGGGTAGGTAGGTACTATAAGAAGAAAGTTTCCCATATGTTACCAACTTAAGTAGACACACTGTATATATATATAGAATCATTTAGAATTAAATAATATATATTATTTAATTCTATATGATTCTATAAAATCATATAGAACTGTTTTAAATCTATGAAAATCTATTGAGATTATTATATTATTATTATTACAAATATTTAAAATAAGTATTTACAAAAAAACATAAGTATTTATAATAACATTTAATTTTAATTTTAGGGGACAAAAAATATGGAATCCCCCCTTTGGACCCATTTAACTTTAAATTATTGGAAATAAATTCAGGAACTCTGAAAATCACCTTAACCGATATTGTAGCAATGGGTTTAAGTACAGCTGATTTCACAGGAATGAAGTATGTTTCAAAATCACCAGAAATATACGGGGTACTTAGAAATGATAAGCAGAAATATAAAATAAAGAAAAATTTTTTACAAACATAAATGTATGTATAATATACATTGTATATCTCAAAATGCTTTCTCTCTAATAGGGTAACACTATAGTACATGTACAGAGTAAATTTGAATTTTATTTAATTCATGAAACTTTTCTTTTTTTTAATAATTTAGGTAGTTTTGTATCTAACAAAACTAAATTTTGTTACGTAGTCATTGGGAATATTTCTTTGTCTATCTGAAATTTTAAATTATTTCAGAAATTTCCGGTTTAATTTTTTACAAGAAAAGTAAACAGTTATTCAGTTACAGCGTTTTAAGGATATGTATTTTACTCATTTCGCGGAAAGCCTAATCGTTGGTCGTATTACATGCAAACGTCAAAAAATTTACTTATTACCGATCATTTATGCTTAAAAAATATATTTTTTAATTACATCAATATCGAAGTAAGTTTTAAACCCTTCTCAGAATAAAATTTTAGGGCAAGTTTACACCATTTTTTTCTTAAATTACCCTTAAGCTTTTGCTATTCATTTCCATACACATTTATACTTTAATATATTATTAAAACGTAGCGTTGTTTATATATTTTATTAACGGGTTTAATCTGCTCTTCATTTCCGTACACCCTATATACCCTTCGCAGCAAAATTAACGCATACTTTTTTAAACTGAAATATTTTTTATTCAAAATATTTTTAATTGAACCTTGTATATGTACATAACATATTATTTAGAACTTCTTACCCCAACTATTTTAATAAAAAATAATATTGTTATATAGGCATTTTATTATTTTAAGAGCGGCTTTTTCATTTGGTGCAACTTAATTTTGATTATAATCACCTAAACTTTATATCAAAAACCTTATATCTACCCTTCTGTCATTTAAAAAATTTCAAATTTATCTTAAATCAATTTCATCAATAGTAATTCTTTCATGGATCAATCAATAAATTTCACTTCTGTCAAATCTGCCTTAATTCATTTTCTACTTTTAATAATTGTATATTTTATATATCGTTTAACAAATAAAATTGTGCCTTAAATATAAAATAATACTCAGTCACTGAGTCAGTCATATTTTTTAAAAATAAAATTATTTTTTTATACCACATTTTTATGTATTTTTATTATTATAAAATGTTAATATTATTAGTAGAGTTTTATATATTTTCTAACAGGAGAACAATAATTAAAATTAAATTAAAGTTAAAATGAACGATAGTTGTTACGGGTTAAGTCACGTTTTCAAAAAATAATTAAGTTTCAAAATCTTTAAAAAGTTCTGCCGCTAAGCCAACATAAAAAAATTAGCTCAAAAAAGCTGAAATTTAAAAATCAAAAAATCACCATATATTTTAAGAACGTGTTAAATCTAAATATACTATTTTTTGTTATAACTTAGTACATTTTACAGGTTCTATAGCTTACAAATTTAAAAAAAGTAGACATTAGCTTATTTTCAAAAATTCGATAAATTATAAGGTTTTTATATTTAGACTTAGCACATTTTACGCTAAAAGGATATAAATGTAAAAACTATAATATATTTCCATCTATATACCATTACATAATTCTGTTATGTTGGCATTTTTTAATACTATTCGGAAAATAGCCTTTTAAGCCTATCTAAAATGATTTGTATTTAGCCAAATTAATATTTTTTTATTTAGAATTATTGTTCCAACCAAACGTGTCAAAATGGGATTAAAATTGAATCATCTTTCTTTAACCGGACAATATGAAATGAACGGTAAAATTTTGGTGCTGCCTATTCAAGGGAAGGGGCCCTTCCAATTACATTTCTGTAAGGAAAACAAACTCAAAATATTATTTTCTATAAATTTTTTTTTTTTTAGATAATGGAACGTACGAGTACAGTTATGACTTAAAACAAGAAGTTAGGGATAAAATCACCTACGCTGAAATTGCTAACGATGACTTAGAAATTGATATTAAAAGTGCAAAAATAAATTTTGAAAATCTATTTAATGGCGACAAAGTTTTAGGTAATAAATTATAAAAATAAATTATTTTATCTACCAATTTTTTAATTTTAGGCGATGAAACCAATAGATTCCTAAATGAAAACTTTGAAGAAGTTTTTAAAGATTTGGATCAAGCCCTTAAGCAATCTATTTCATCTGTGTGTAGACTTGTCCTGCAAAATTTCTTTAAAAGAATTCCATACAAGGATTTATTTTTGGAATAAGGACAAAAAGAGGAAACTGTTAATCTACGAGAAATTATTTATTATATTATTAAATTAGATTTATTAAACACATTTTAGGGTAAAAAGTAAAAATGTTTTTATTTTTTTTATTTAATTTTAACCCTCGAGCGCTTTGAATTTGCAACCAAGGTCCGATGTTTGCAATTTAGGCGCTATAACTCGTGTAATTCCTCTTATCGAACTTGAATATAAACCATTCTGCAGCAGTTTATACTAAAGATTCCTTTAGGATTTACGACAGAAAACCTGGTTTAAAACAACGGTTCTACGCAGATACGTTGTTTTAGAAAAGGCTTTGACTTTGTTTGAGGCTTACAATCCTTTAGAAAAAATGTATGACATCCAAATATGAACGGCAAAGGGTTATGGTGTAAATAATTTTTAGCATTTTATTATTATTATAAAATAGCTGTTAATGTATTAAAGAAAAATGCCGCAGCATCTGAAAGAAGCTCAGAAGTCAAGGTCAATAGCAAAACTTGAAGAAAATTGGTCCTTAAGTGAGGTGGCTGCTAATTTAAATGTTAGTAACAGTTTTAAACAAATCCAAATCATAAATAAATAACGTTTAATTAGACAAGCTGTTTTTAACCTTTTTGACTGGCGACCCACAATTCAAAAATATAAGAAGCTCGCGACCCGATAAAAAATAAAATCATCAATTTTCTACATTTTCTTTATTTAAAGTAAGTTAAAAAATTTTTTTGAAATCAACTAACACAAATCCCCCAAGTCCCGCGACCCATCTCGATATGGCCCGCGACCCAAATTTGGGTCGCGACCCGATGAATTAAACCCTCGTAAAACATAGGGTGAGAGTTATAAGGCCATACAACTTATGCCTTGCGATTTCGGTAGTGTTGACTTACTGGGTTTATAATAGTATATTAAAGAACTAATGTCATAAGACGTCAGTTTGTCGCACGCGGACAATTTATAAAACGAGCGACGAAGGAGCGAGTTTTATAATGGACAAGTAGTAGTGGAATAAAGTACCTCATTAAAGAACCAAAAGCGGTGTTATAATGAAGTCATTATGAAACCAAAATAGATAAAGGATATTATAGTGTATCCTTTACAAGTGTATGGACATGGACAAGCGTATACTCTTGCCAGAGCTGGGTATTTTAAATAGTTAATTTAGCTTAAAAGCTTCACAAGGTGGTAATGTGGCCTGATGGTGTAAATCTTTTAAAGAAGATGTTAGTAAACCTCCCTGTCAAAGTGACTACGCTGAAAAGCAATTTCTTCATCTTTTACAAGTCTTTGTCTCTGGATGTTAAGTATTTTAGATAAAATAAATGTAATTTTAATCTCAAAAATTATTTTCTAGTGGTTGAGATCAAAGATATTATATTATCTTTGGTTGAGATTCCTTAAATTGACTAATGTTTGATAAGAAGACTGGTACCGTAAAGTTTACGGCGTAAACACGGGTGACTTTGCACCCCGCGGGTGACTTTAACCCTTTTGTAAAAAATCTTTTCGCGCTCGATATAATTAACATTTATAATTTGTTGGTCTAAACCTGTCAATTGAGCGATTTTATTGAGTTTATATTACAGGAAAATCAGTGTTTTAAAGAAAGAAATGAGATTTATTACACTTTAAAATTGTATATATCGCATCAGTGCAAAACTCTTAGAAATACACGCGTTACAATTTCTATATTATGCGCAATCCTTTGGAATGATGATCCTTGGTTAACTAGAGGTCGATTTTTTATTTTTTTATCGGTAATCCCTTTCAATAGATATATGTCGCTGCTAACACGTGTCTAATAAAAATAAAATAAAATATTGAGTTAATTTTATACGGAAAATACACTGTAAGACAAAGTTACCCGCAACCAGGGAATAACTTTGCACACCCAGTTTTTAATTTTTATTTTTGAAACTCAGCCCTATGTAATATTATAACATAGTTATTATAACTCAAGAGTCTTGAGTTATAATAACTATGTTATAATATTAAGTCAAGACTCAAATTTTGGTATACAAAATTTAATGTTTATGATTGTTAAAACCACAAAAATTTTAAGCTTAAGTTTGAAAGTGTGCTAAATCCACCCGTGTTTACGGTACTGATTTTGGAGGTAATTTAATGCGTCGTTCAAGGAATATTGCTCAGTCTGCTATTCTGGTAAAAACATTATACATTACCTTTTGGCATTAGTTCACGAAATTCTCTTCCACAGATAAAAGATTATTAAATGCGCAGTTTATCCCATAAGCGCACTCTCAGAGGAAGCTCAAAAGTATAGGAACAAAGATTATAATTTTTTTAGAACTCATGACGCTCGAATATGTTCTGGCTTAGCTACTAATAAAGACGTTGTTTTCGCAGAATTTTGGTTATTTCAGACTCATTTATCACTGGTCTAAGACCACAATATAAGAAAAAAGATTTTACTGTTAGAATATGTAACTGTGTACTCCTTATGTAGCTTTAGAGACAATAATTGTGTTTGAAACCTTTGCTTTTAATTAAATTTTCTTTTGTCCATAAATGTTAATAAAATGCCATTAGTTTTATTCAATTTTACCAAACAACTTTTGCATCATAAAAACTGGGACTTATTTCACTATTTATTAGAGATGGAATTTTAGTGTTATTACCTATTTGTCTACGCTAATCATAACTTTAGGTGCAATGGAATAAAATCCGTTTTGAAGAAAATGATTTTATTTAAGCCTGATTTCATTTTACCTATTACACCTAAATTTAACCAAATTTTCAAATTTTAACATCAAAAACGTGCTTTTTTGTAATATTGGGGCTGTCGTATTGGGATGACATAATTCTTAGGCACCATGTATTTATGTTTGTTATACAGGTTTGGTAATGTGGGTTGGTTGGGAGTGGTTGGTACTGGTAATCGCGAACCTTTCTATCATAATTATGAATTAATGAATGTGAATTTGTTATTTGCAGCAATTGTATGCCTATAACAAAAACATTTTTAATATGCCGCCACATTAAAAAATGATAAAATATATTATGGTTTACAACATTTTTACAAGATAAATTCGTCAGTTATTTTTAAATTTTCTAAATTATAAAAATCTTGTTCAAAAAGATTTTCTTCAATAATAAATTAAATTATTTTAGCACCTAAAAGTCGATTTCCATTACTAATTTACGTACTATGCTCCACACTTCAAGTCCCACCAGGTGACCACCTGAAAGTTGTTATTAGTTAAATTTTGAAATAATTGGGTGATTTTTGTCACATAAGAAAAATAAAAAAAATAAATTAATTAATTAATAAATTAGGTACTACTCCACACCTCAAAGTCCCACCACGTGACCACGTACGGAACGCAGTCTTTTGAAAATTTGGCATTTAAGGCTTTTCAGGTTATGTATCTGTCAAAGTATAGTCAACGAAAGAAATAATATTATGTTTAGGCGTTAAAAATGTATATATCTTTATAACATTACAATAACAATGGATGGTTTAATAAAATTCTAAAGTGCATGCCAAATAAGTAATATTTTTGTGCATTTGGTTCAAATATCTGGTTTTCTCCATAAAATAATTTTAACTATACAGCATTTATTAAAAAAAAATCTAGCTTCTCTATTATGGAATAAGAATATCTGTTTTTATGGTAGGTTAATATATTATAACAAAAATATCATCTAATTTTGTAATTTTAAGGTTAGAAAAATTTATTTTGACCAAAATAAATAGGTATTTTGGATTTATTAAAAGACTGTATAATATGGTATTTAAAAATGTGGTAATTTTTCTTATCCAGCTTAAAGTGTACCTAGATAAAGTTTTGTCAATACAAATAGTTAAAAAGCTTCGACTGAACTTATTATAACTTTTAATAAATCACATGTCATGGGAGTATTAAATATTTTCACATTGCAAGTTTCTCTAAATATTGTTTGTTTTCTTATAATCTAACTTAAAGTAGGTATGCCGAGAGCTATGCACAAGTTTTGTCATTAGATAGTATAAAAGCTTCAATTTAATTTGAACCATATTCAACAATTATTTAGTATACCTTTTTTTATTTATGACCATATTAACACACTCTTCCAAATAATCCACTTATTTATTTTTTCAAAATAGATTTTTCTAACCTTAAAATACAAAATTAAATGATATTTTTTTTCTAATACATTAACCTACCTTTGATACAGATATTCTTATTTCATAATAGAGAAGTGAGATTTTTAATAAATGCTGTTTAGTTAAAACTATTTTATGGAGAAATGTAGACCCAATGCACAAAAATATCACTTATATTGCACCTTACACTTTGGAATTATATTCAATGCAGTATTTATATTCCTAAATTCTTAAACTAACCATTGTTATTGTGATACTATAAAGATTTATTAACTTTTAACGCTTAAACATAAGAGGTAACACTATAAATATTATTTCTTTCATTGACTATACTTTGACAGATACATAACCTGAAAAGCCTTAAATGCCAAATTTTCAAAAGACTGCGTTTCGTACGTGGTCACGTGGTGGGACTTTGAGGTGTGGAGTAGTACCTAATTTATTAAATTAATTAAATTAATTTATTTTTTTTATGTGACAAAAATTACCCAATTATTTCAGGGATGTTTTAAATCACTATGACAACGAGACTGTCAACTTCATATTTCAAATTCACATGGAGAATATTTAGTTTTTCACTTAATGAAATATGAGAAAGATTATACAAAATTCAAAGAAGCAACGGTAAGTCTTTATGTGAAAAGTTTTGTGAAAACTTTTACAAGAAAAGTTATATGATTTTTTTCATCCAATTTTCTGACCAAATATCCCTCTGGCATTGACAAATGCCTCATAATTTTATGTCAATTTTCCAAAGCAACGTTCCTATGATTGTAATACAATTATCTCTTGCATTGTCAATGTCCTACGGAATTATAGCTGAATTATAGCTAATAACAACCCTAATCTAAAATTAAGAAAATATATCTGGAGTTTGCGCAAGTGGATTCGAACTTTTCATAAAACTTGTCTGCATGTCCGCATGC